CCCAAACTTCTCCTCCACCTCAGTTGTTTTTAGCTCTTTGTCATGCAGCTCTGTGTCCACAGTGCAACTCTGCACCAGGGTTGCATAAGGTTGCGGCTTGCTTCTCTGCTATTCCGCTTCCTGTATTCCACTTCTTGCATATTCCGGGCTCGGTCTAGTTCGATACAGCTCTGACAATGTCATAACCTTGCCATTCTGAGAAGCAAAACCAAGGAGATTGTATTACATACATTAAACTCCCAGAAGACTGATTGCTGACTGACTGACAAAAATAAATAAATCATTATCAAAATATCTGAAGGATGTTTTCAAAAATATCTTAGCCCTGAATACGATAATTCACATAGTTGACATGTATGCTTGATTGCTTTTTATTCTGTAATTAGAAGAGAGGCAAAGTCCTCTTTCTTGGTTTCTAGGGCATTTTGCAGGCTAACAGATAAATAATTAAAAGGCTCCATGTTGGTATTTGTCCCATGAACGATTCGAGGCTTCCCGTTCCGCACAGGAGTAATCAGTAATAGTGTTGGGACTCGCTGCTGGTCAGTGAAGCTGCAGCAGACCCATCCAGGCGTGTCTGTGAGCGTGCAGATGTGTCTGCGTCTTCGTCGTACGTCTGTAAACACGAGGGCACGTGGCCAAAATGTTGCAGGTTTCTTGTGTTGAGCCTGAGCTGATTACTACAGTACCTTCGGTCGTACATCTCGTTCTTCAGAAAAGGGGCGGCGTGATGGCTCAGTACCCTTACAGGACAGAGGTTTGACTCCCATCTTCACCCCGTCTGCGAGTGTGAAGGATAAGTGACTGGAAGATGGCTGCATGTGTTTATGTTTACATGTATAAAGGCCAGGCGCATACAATAAGCAAAGGAATTACAGTTGATCGACAAGTCATGAACTATGGCTATAAATGAACTAAACCAGTGATGGTGTCAGTGTAATTACAGGGTATGAAGACGCTTTAGTTGTCAGAATCAGAATTTGTGTATTGAGTTTAGGTGATGGCTTCAGTAATACTCCGGGTTCCTGTCTTGCGGCAGGAACAGAGATGACAGATAGGAAAGGGCAGCATGCGCCTTTGCTTTACAGAGGATATGATGGCCACCTGGCCACAATCAGATGTGGATGCTGAGGAAGAGAAGCTCTCCATGCTGACATTGTGATATCTACAAGCATGGGATTATAAATAGACTTTGGTCGCTATGCTATTCAGCTGGGGTATTCCAATCCAGCACGCTGCAGAACATTGCGTGTGAAGTGGCCAATTATCCTCTGGTTTCCCTCTTTGGTTCTGAAGGGGAGCTGAAAATGAAGTTTCCCGGTGAGGAATAAGCCAGGAAAGGGTCAGAGCCGGTCCATCACGCGCAGACTGTTCGAGCCGACCTGTCTGCTTGAAGATCTGCCCCCGGTCCAAAGAGCGGCCAGGCAGACGGGAGAGTGTGTGGGTGAGCGCCGGGTGCGGGAGTCAGACACCTGCTGTCTGTGCTGTGGCCCGAGGAAATGAAAGGAGCAGCTCGTGGATCCTGCAGGACGGCTGGTAAAGTCTCCGGAGAAGGAATGGGCCATTAACCGTCCCTGCAGATCAAACAGGGCTGGTGGATTCTCCGTTGCTCACGGCTCCTTAATTCGTCATCAATCATTCATCTGCACACAGCGGTCTCTCTTTATTTATTTAACGAGAAGCTGCGAGATGGGCGCCATTCCTGCGGACAGGGCTGCGTCTGCACGCGACGGGAAAAAACGAGGCAGACGAGAGCGAGAACGCGGCCTCTGTCTCTGACAGAAGCCTGACACCAAGAACACAAACAACGTGGCTGTTTACTCTGGTACACAGAGTCACATGGGTAAGTTCTGCAGGAGGCAGATCTTTCCAAGATACGACACAGGCTGACCCAAGAAACAGGAATTCCTCACCAATTCCTGAACTTTAGCCCTTTTATCCTTCATGTGAATCTTCCTCTTCGACCTCAAACCAAAAGTGATTGTTCACAAAGCCCCGTCTACCGTCACAGGAGACTTAAGATGTCTGGTTTATTTATGGTCTCAGAGGAAGACAATACTTCCCTAAAGCATGGTGCCTGATGCTCGGGGGGGGTGGGTGTCATCTTACACCACACAAACAATAGCATAAATATGCTGAGCGGGGAGCGGAGTAGCAGGGGGCTGGGGGCTGGGGGAGCGATGTGAACAAAGAGAAGTGGGTGACCTCTGATATCCTAACACATCCAGCCCCACAATCCTGCACCATGGCTCCAACCAGAGAGCCAAACAGAAAATAAGCCTGACCAATTAGTGCCAGAAGCTGTCAGGGCAGTTTTCCGAATTGGGCCGGAGTGCGGCAGCTGCAGAGGCTCCCATCAGTGCACTAGAGGGCGCAAAAGTGCATTAGCCGCTGCTCAGCCTCATAAAGATTTCAAATATGAAGCCTACAAAATGTCATGGCCGAGAGATGAAGGCTCTAAATCAACACAAGGCTCTCAAAAACCAAATGTGATCATGGATTTATATATTGCATGGTTTGTCAAATATATCTTTTATGTTATGTTTATCACCCAGTCATCTAACTGCTTCTCCTGGTAAAGGTTACAGGTTGTGGGTCCTGGAGCCTATTCCAGGCAGCACAGGGCACAGGGCTGGGGTACACCCTGGATGGGATGCCAGCCCTTCACAGGGCACAGGGCTGGGGTACACCCTGGATGGGATGCCAGCCCTTCACAGGGCACAGGGCTGGGGTACACCCTGGATGGGATGCCAGCCCTTCACAGGGCACAGGGCTGGGGTACACCCTGGATGGGATGCCAGCCCTTCACAGGGCACAGGGCTGGGGTACACCCTGGATGGGATGCCAGCCCTTCACAGGGCACAGGGCTGGGGTACACCCTGGATGGGATGCCAGCCCTTCACAGAGCACATGCATGCACTACCGGCTATACAGACATGCCAGTTATCCCAACTGTGCACAGAGAGAACATGCTAACTCCACCCACACAAAATGGAAACAGGATTTGAACCGAACCTGAAGGTGCAAGACAACGATACCTGTGAACCACGACACCAGACAGCGAAAAAAAATAGCCAACAACTTAGCATGACACCCAGGATACCACAAGATCAGGTGAATACACGTCCAACACTGAACCTAGATTATCATCATATAACATCGAGACGAGCTAGGATTACACAAAATGTCCAAGTCTCTCTGATTTTCTATCGTTTTACATGTGATAATGGTGGTGAATGGAGTGAGACAGTTACAGTATGAAGCCCCCAGGTATCCCCTGTGCGCCTGGCAGGGACTGGAGGGTCTCACTGGATGTTGGATTCCATGCCAAATTGCATCCAAATGTTGCTAAGAAACTGAGGAGGTCATATTATTGAAATGCTGCTGTGCTGAATTCATTTCAATTAATTTGCACAAGGGTGTATGTGCCACCACATACAAACAACATAAGGAAAACACAGAGTACTTTAGCACTTCCTATGCCGCTTTTAACGTACAACCTGCCTCCCAGCTTCCATCATCCTTTCACACATTCCATAAATTCCAGAGACTCCACGGAGTATGACATCAAGGCAGCCCCACGACAGACATTATGTTTGCCGAATCTTTGAATTCGAAGAACATTCAATTATTTCTTAACGCCTGCAACATACATCATCAGGCATTGCATTGTGGGAGTGCCATTCACAGCACTTATCCATGGATTTCTTTGAAGTTTAAGAAACATTCTTATCTATACAAGAAAAACTGAGAAACCAGTCTGAGATCCTATGAAACAGGACCTTTCCCATAAGGCATGGGGCAGGACTCCCCATACGCTGGAAGCCCAGGTTCTCTCAACCCATTCAAACTCCACAGAGCCCAGCTTGTCACTCCCAGTCCTGCACTATCCATACATAATGTTTGGCTCTGGGATGAATAAGAGCAGCAACGTTCCTGCTCCTTAAGTTAGGGAGAAAACGCTGATGTAATTGCTGTTGCTGTACACAGTCATCTGATGTCTGCATAATAAGACAGACTCTGCTCATCAAAGTTCACACCAGTCTATTCAACAAATTCCATACAAATCCCTGGTATTAAAGACACTCTTCTGCTGTCCTTAGGAAGCTGTCCCTGAATGTTCCTCTTATTCACACCTTGTAGCCCCGTTCTGCTTCAGTGAACCATCAGGACCTCAGACTGATGCTGACACACGGGCGGCGGGGATCTATTGAGAAGTACGTCGGTTACACTCGGAGGGTGGGAAACCGTTTCATCATCATTTTTAGCTGTCGGCTAAAAGCAAGAAAAGCATTTAAGACACTATAGCACTGGGATGGCACACAGTAAATCCTATGGTTTAGCTGAAATCCATCCATCCATCTACCCACCCACCCATCCATCCCAGGGTCATGGGGAATTAATAAAACAAAGAATAACAGTGTGACATTATATACAGGTATATATATAGCAATTTACAATATCCATCCATATTGCAAGGTCACAGTATTTCTGTGGCCTGTCCCCAGGCAGGATTGGGTACAAGGCTGGAGTACAACCTGGAAGGGATGCCAGTCCATCACAGGATAGACTGACACACACAATCACACCGTACAGGTGACAGAGAGACACCCATTCACCCAAACCATGTGTTTTTGGACGGTAGGAGGGCTATGGATCACCAGAAAGAGGGGAACACACTCCATTATACACTTTCTCCTTGTTTAGCGACCATTCACAAATACGACAGTCAGAAAATAATTCATTTCCGAAAAATGCATGGATTTGTTTGCCTGGCAGCATGTATGCTGGAGTCGGAGTCACTCTGGCAAAACTGTAAGAGAACTTGAATGAGATCCGAATGAGACGGCAGCAACTAGTGATCCTGCCAGCGTGAAGCGAACGTTTAGCAAACGTTCTGCATAGCGATCTGGTCGTTGGGATGGGGCTTTGTCGCAGAAAGAGGAGAGGGCGTCCTAACAATACGCAGCAGGATAAGAAAATACTGAGGGTCACGTGACAAGGTTTCCGAAACCTTTATTAATAGCTTGTGTACACACCAGCACCAATCCCGTGTACGCAACCATCCACTTAATGTACAAAGCACCACAAATCCTTTAGGCCACTGTAAGCTATGCACATTCCTACTAGCGCATCAGTACATTTCGCTATGGGCCTTAACTTAGAAATCAAACCGTAAATTCAAAGAGAGACTGTATTATTTATTCCTGGTGCATACATCCAATCTTCATACATGTGACTCTATACAGCATTGTAGTCTGTACCTGCCAAATTACATGAAATATACATTTGCCCCCCCCCCCAAACACAAAAAAAAATAAAATAAAATACAGAGCTGGTTTCACGTACACTCAAAGTCCGAGGTAACATTTCACAGTACAATCCTTCAAGTACGCAAGTGGGACCAGCCGCTCTGCTGGTGAAACTGCAAGGGAGGTGTTTTAAAAAAAAAAATAAAATAAAAAAAAAAAAGACACAAATGGGTCATTGGACTTACAGGACATGTGGCCGGAGCTTCCAGTGTTGGGCTGGAAACAAAAAATTTCCTTAAAAAATAAAAACGAAAACGGCAAAATAAAAAAAAAAAAAAAAAAAAAAAGGAAAAAAAAAAAAAAAAAAAAAAAAAAAATGACTGCCTTGTGGAGCCCCCCCACTAAAAGAAGGAGTAGTGGGGGACGGGATACGTGGGCATTTTCACCACGGGCAGCAGGACCATTCCTTTGGGCAGACCTACAGGGGGAGGGAAGCCGGAGAGATAAGCGGCCCGCAACACCGGGGAGGAGGCGCGTCCACCACAGTGTCTGAGGCACTGAACGTGCTACAGCATGAAAGAGAGGACCGACAAAAAGGGAGAGGTGAGAGCTGGCAGTGAGAATGAGAGGGACAGGGTGAATATCTGATGCAAAGTGCAGTACTCTGATATGTACCAGATGACCAACAAGCAGATTACACAATGCGCCTCTCGCATTAAAAGCCAGATAACAAACAAACAAAAAAAGAGTGGATTCCAGCTGAATTTTTGCCTATTTAAAATTAGATCCTAGCACAGAAATCGGCAGAATCTGCATACTGCTTCTGGGAAGGTTGGATTTCCTACTTTGTGTAGCTGAATATGTATTAAGTCACCTTGTGGCTTTGGTGTCAGGTATGTGTCTGACTGGCCTGTCGTCCCACAAGCTTGCTGAAAAATCACAGGGAGGCAAAACAAGGCAGAAGTTCTCGGCAAAATCTGCACTGCGGTTACTCACTAAGAAGCCATTAGCGGCAGGCGTGGGACACTGCATAGTGGGACCAGCCCTTATGGCAATAATGACCGTCTTAAATGTCCATAGGGTACTTTACATTCACTCCCATTCAGAATCCCCTTATGGGGTTTACCGAACCGTCTCGCCTCTGTCTGGGACGTGCAGTGCCATCTCACTGCATCCTATCCTCTACACGCTCGCACTGTGCTCCAGCTCTCTCTCTAGCTGCGCTGTGTTTTCATTGAGTCATCGAGAGGATGATTGCCTCATAAAGCCCAGAGATCCATTTTCAGTTGAACGAGATGATTGGTCTGTAAATCACATATTGGGCTACTGTTGTGGGGGGGGGGGGGGGGGGGGGGGGGGGGGTTGTGTGATAGACCCATAGGGCAATGTTTCCCAATCCCAATTCCCAATCTTCGGGAACCCACTGCCAGACAGTCCATGTTTTCGCTCCTTCCGAGCTCCCTGCCAGACAGCCCACATTTTTGCTCCCTGCCAGACAGCCCACATTTTTGCTCCCTAACAACTCCCGGAAACATGAAGAGTCTATGTGTCCCCGAGGACCAGATTGGGAAACACTGCCATAGGGTGTCTGTGGAGGTGAAATGGGAAGGTAGGGTGTGTACATACCATACGCAGAAGCCGGCACTGCAGGAGCGCTGCTGTATCCGTACGGAGCTCCATACGCTGTGGGCACACGAGGAAACATCTTACTGCTATTCAAACTTACACACAATATGTTACATTTTTGCTAATTAAGCTACCTTTCTTTAAACCATGGCATTCCCCTTGAACCAAAACGCAGCCCCCAAAAAGCTACATGATGTAATCCTCAGGACATAAGCAGACGTACCTGCGGCGATGTATCCTGGGGCGGCGGCCGTGCTCAGCAGAGCGCCTCTCGCCAGCGCCCCCCTGGCCTGGCCCCTGCTTGCCTGGGCAGCAGCAGACATTATTGTGGCAACGGGGGTTCCCTTTGCCTAGGGTGAAACACACACCTCAAACGTGTGACGGGTCTGGCGAGTAGCGCGGACTTCTGCCACAAAGGCCCGTCGTCGGCTCAGCCTAACGCTCTCGGACAGAATGCTACCCCGTTCACGCAGGTGAACCTTCACAGAAGACAGGTGCTTATGAATATTCCTTCAGGATGTTAGCGGTTTGGCTTCTGCATGGAATTATGATAATACAGAATCGCACAGGGGCAGGGCACGTTCCTCGCCTGTATGTGTAGTAACTTCTGAGAAATTAGTGCCGACCAGAACACAGGTTAAAGGTTATAACACAATAAAGGCTTTTCCTAGAATACAGTTATCTATTCCTGTTCATTATACAGTACATTCAACTGAGAATCTCCTTTAATGCAGGAGTGGCTGTCCCCAAAGGATTTGATATAGATATTAATTACAACCTGACTGACAGCTGGGGAACAAGGTGAGTTGACTTTCCATACAAGTAATTATGCTAATATAGAGCTACAATGAAAAGCATAATCCGTGGCTCTGAGGTCCAGGGTATGACTGCTTTGCCTTACGGTGTGGGGGGGGGGGGGGGGTAATGATCCCTGGGGAGTGGTCAGTGGGCGCCAGCGACTGACACACCTGGGGGAGCACCTTCTTTTTCCTGTTGGCGAAGGCGTTGGGCCCCGAGAACAGCTTCTCCAGGGCGGCCAGGGCGGCACTGGCCTTCGCCACCTTCTTATTGGGCCCAGCTCCTCGGAACCTCTGGCCGTCCACCTCCACCTGGGCCAGACAGGGAGGGGGGCAGACAGGGCAGAGAGTTGAGCCTAAACTCAACTGCCAGGCTATATACAGCGTGTGTGTCTGTGCTTTGGCCAAAATTCAAAGCACTATGTGTCATGCAAACGTGACACAGCCCACGCCTCAATGAACACTATCCTTACAGTGAGGTGTGGCGGCAGCATCATGCTATGGGGGATGCTTTTCATCTTCAGGAACTGAGCAATTTGTCAAAATCGAAGGGAGAATGGATGGAGAAAAACACAGGAAGATATTACGAGAAAACCTGCTTCAATCAGCAAAAAACTGAAGCTCGGGGAAAAACTTCATTTTACAGCAAGACAACGATCCTAAGCACAAGGTCAAAGTAATACAGGAGCGATTAAAAAACAAAAAGCTGAATGTTCTGAAAGGGCCACTTAAAGTCCAGGGGTGCGTTTCCCAAAAGCATTACGGTAGCAACCGACATAGTTAGAACCATGCAGCTGAATGAGTCCAATTATGTAAGTTGGTAAAAGGAGCTTTTGGGAAACAGACCCCCGATCTAAATCCCTAAGAAACCTGTGGCTTTCATTCAAAATTACAGTTAACAAACGATATTCAACCAAGTCTGCCATGAACAAAAATCACTCCTGAAGAGGATAAAAAGCTGATAGCTACTTACCCCAAAATACTTACAGCTGTTATTGCAGTAAAGATTAATTGATTATTTATGCAACTGGCAGTTTTTGATTTTCTTTAAAAGATTTGGCGAGACATGATAGATTTCGCCTTTGAAAATTTACTGCGAGATGTACATGCATTATTTGTAATTCAGGCGAATCTGGGGTTCAATACTTTTGCAAGGCAATGTGTATATAAATATGTGCAAAGCATACAACAGTTACTTGTCCAAACTGCAGGAAAGGTGCATCTTTACCTGCCTAAGTTACTGCAACTCACCTCCATGACAAAGCGCTTATCATGGCTGCCCCCGCTCTCCGATATCAAATCATACTTGAGCCCCCGTCGCTTCTCATTCAGCTCCATGATGGGGTTCTTCCCGCTGGACGTCAGGATGGGACCCTGAGTTCGGACCTGCCAGCGACAGAGCATGTGGGTGGTTGAAGATGACCCGCATCCTGCTGTACAAGCTGCACAGTTTACTGAGCTTCTGGAGAAAGATTTACGGGATCCGGGGAAAAAGCCTCGGGCTAAGTCTGTTAGAACACTTACCAGTGATGGCTGTTTGAAAACGTAAACACTTATCAGAGATGAAAAATATCATAACTGTGTGCAAAAGCACCCCTGAATGGTACAAGACGTCAGTCTGCGAGGAAAAAAAAAAATCTTTGCTTTTCCATTTCTCATAATAAAATGCTCTACGTACAATCACTATGCAGACTGTCAGTTCAATAGCCTGTTTATCCAACACAGAAGTAAATTATATAGTTGGAAAAAAAGTGTATAAAAAAGTTCCATTAAGTTCTTGATGCAAAGGAGCAACATAATAATTGGGCCTCTATGTAGTGGCTGCAGCCAGTGAGCCAAGGCTGCTGGCAGATAGGTGTTTTTCTGAGGATTATGCTCCCCGAGGTACGGCAGGAATTTTATGTACAATACGCACTGTCAAAGTCTGTCTAATTCCTGGATTACATCTATGCAAACAAAAAAATCCCACAGAAAAAGAACTGGTAATAAGGAGTTAGCATTTCCCCAGTGGATCTGCGAGATTCGGGAATGCCTGGCAGGGGGTCAAGGCAATGCTGAGCACGCGGTTAAAAATTCAAGCGTGCGTGATGTGAGCCGCTAATCCCAGGCGGGGGCTGCGTTTGGTTACCTCCAGCGTGTTCGAGCTGTCCGTGAAGGAGCCAGAGCGGTTATTGCTGGGGTAGGGAGACGTGGCGTCAGTCTTGCCCTCGCCGTCCGACTTCTCGTCAGCGCTCAGGGGGTCCAGGTCAGTAGCAAAGCCGGTCGGGTATCCCATTGCCTGCAGAACCTGAACAGTTCGTGCCAGTGAAAATTCTTCATCTCTCAATAGGGAAAAAAAAACACCCCCAGAATTCCATAAATTCAGAAAAATGTCATTTCCTTGTTTGAAAAACTGCAAATATAACCGTGGACACCCCAGTGATGACACAGCTGGGTGCTGCTTGAGGGCTGCTATACAGAAGTCAGGTCAGAATACATCTGCTGTGGTTTCACCCAACACCATGTGTCTGACACAGGACAGCTGGATTACAAAGAACAGGCGAAAACCCAGGAAACCAAAGCCACTTTCTGACCTGAACGAGCCCCAAATCCGGTAGGGAGCAGGACCTGAGATTATCTTTGCTAAAATTCATTTTAAAAGGTGCAATTTGGATTTTGTAATCTATGCATATTCAGGTCAGAAGCCACCCGTCTGCAGAGCACCATTCTGAAGTCCATAATGCTGAACATCTAGCCTCCCACAAGACAATTCAGGACACTGAAATCTCACCATTTGACCTTTCAGTTCCTGTTGACCCTATTAGTACCTTCACTGCCACTCGCAGCTTCGCCACCTTCTTGGAGGACCCTGAGGCTTCGTAGACGGTGCCGTCCACGTCGACGGACATGGTGAAGACCGGGGCATGGACTGGGCCGGACTGGGAGAGCAGCTTGTACTGCAGGCCGGGCTGAATTTGGTTCAGTCGCATCAGGGCGTTCATTGGCTGGTTGGTGTCTATTGCTTTATTGTCAAGAACTGGAGGGCGAGACACAAACCTACTAGTGAGTGGGGTCATTTCCTCTCGGATGACAGCTGGCAAAAGGTTTAGCTGAATACCGGCCAAACACAGTGTTTCCTTCACATTCCTCAAGTCCTCGACTGCGACTAACCGCCTTTCAGCTATTTTATTTGACAAAAGAGCTCATTAAACCAGTGTCGGGATAATGGCAGATCGCTGCTTACTAAATGTCTTCATCGCACATAATTAAGACAGAGCTCATCAGATGCATCCTGCCTGGGCGGCCCAAGGACCCCGGGCACGGCAGGAACGCCCAGAGACCCACAAAAAAAAATGCGATAAATAATCTGCCGTTACAGATTTTATTGCTAGCGGACAATTAGCTTGCAAAACAGATGCAGAAAAATGAAAAAGCTACCGTGCTGGAAATGGCGCAGTGCATCAAACTATAACGTGACACACACTGGCGTATCTGCAGTGCTTTGTTCACAGATTTGGGGCAGGATGATACAACAACAACAAAAAAAAAAAACTAAGATAATGTTTTACCAAGACCCTTAAAGTCAAGGAAAATAGAATAAATGAATCTGGCTGTTTTTCTCTTGCCCTGTACCTCAAAACATCTCATTTATAATATATTAACATTATTGTTATCATTCCCATGAACCAAACAAAAGTAAGTGGCTATAAGATGGGTGGATGCTTGCATTATTATATACAGAACTATGAAGAAGGATGACCCATTTTAGGGGAGATACATTAGGTGTCAAGGTGTCTGGATCTCTGGGGCTTCATTGACCAAATGATTAGGCTTGGAATTAGGAGCCACACCAACCCACTGGAGGCCACAGAGCTTCTTACACTTCTTTAGGTTGCACTTCATCTTCTTGAGCAGGTCTCTGTCGTCCATGGATCCATCCTCATGGGGTCTCTTCAGTCCCGGTCCTGGACAGGGCAAAAAGCCGCAAAGGAATGACTGACTGCGAAGGAGCATTTGCATGTTCGCAAAACCCTAATCCCAACGACGACCGTAACCCCTACCCAGCCCTAACCTTAACCATAAGTAACCAAACAAAATACAAGTTTAGTTTTTTGATTGCAGTCACAGATTTTTATAAAGATTGAATTTTCCCTTTGTGGGGACTGAAAAAAGGGTCCCCACAACATCATACTAGCAGGTTTTTATCACATTGTGGGGACATTTGGACCCCTCACATAAACACACACACACACCTTCTTTATCCAGACCCGGGTGCTTCTGCAAGGGTCTGCTTGAGGGCAGCGGGTCCATCTCCAGTAACTTGTGGATTCGCCCAAAGGCCAGCAGTCGCAAGGCGTGCTGGGAATTAGCATAGATTGAGGCAATCAGCCTGGGACTCATCTATGGTCTAAGTCCAGTGGGCTTCGGACTGAAATCCTGCAAGGGGCTCTGCTCTAAATAAGTAAGGCATTTTACTTGATTTGTTCCAGTAGAATGGATACATGTATCTTCTGAGCAGCTGAATGAAAGTGTAAATGGGAAAGACTGCTGCGGGAACTGGGGCTGACAGCTACCACACCTCTCTCTTGTGAACACATGTGCAATCAAGAGCAAAGCTGGGGGGCTGCGCAGAAATGAGATCCCTGCAGTAAACAAGGCAGCCCCACACAATTACCGGGAGCTCTCACAGAGTTTACTTAGCAACCAGCCCCACCCTGCCTGATATGATCTCAGCTGTGGAAACATACAGATGAAGAGCGAAGGGGGTAAATAAGCTAAGGTGCACTCACACGGACGCAGCAGCGTAGACACATCTCCAGGGGGCTATCATGTGTATAGAATTTTCCACAGTGATTACTTAGCGACACCTTCAGCTGAAGGTCACTTGGACCCATGCATTTTGGCGCATGTCTCTCAGCTGTACTGTTGGCAAGTTCATTTACATGAGTGAGGATGTTTCTTGACTTAAGACAACCTTGAGATTCCAGCGGGCTGCACAGTCGATTCAATACTCAATACCACATGACATTCTGTGTGCCTCCTAAACCCAGGTATAGTGCATGGTTGGGCAACACCAGATCACAGCACACGTGAATGCTCTCCTTACCTGGGCGCTGCAGGTGAGAGCCTCGGCCTGCTCGGCCGTCATGTCTGACAGCACGTCCGTCGGCTCCTTCTCGCAGGGGTCGTGCAGTCCTGGTCCACCTTGGAAGTCCATCGAAACAATCATCCATCAAGATACACAGACGACTCATTAACTATAGCTGAGCTTTTCAAATCTGGACCTCGATTCCAAATCCAGGCCTTGTTTTCAGTTCTCCCAGGTAGTTAGTTTAATGATTACTGACTCTAATTGGCCACAGAGGCTTCACACCAGACCCACAGGTAAAGGAAGGCTGGAAAATCAGCAGGGCTCGGACCTTGAGGACCGTGATTTGAATATCCCTGAACTATAGTCATCACTTCAGTGATTCAGACTAGGGAAGGGCTATATCATTTTTAATCAGGGGTAGCATAGCATACACAAAAACACCTAATGCTCACTCCCCAACAAAGGAATATTAATTGACATCAAGCTTTGAAATCTTAATCCTCAAATTTTTGGGATACCTAATCTGCCAGTTTGTATCACTGACACTCAATCACCCACACATTTGGCCAAAACGCAAGCTAAACAAATGGCAGCCATTGAACAACATTTTCGTTAAGATGCAAACTCTTCTAGATGATGGCAGCCTGTTGTGCTGGAGCAGAAATGCAAGAACAAGGCAGACTTAGGGTTTTTCTCAAAATGCATATTTCACCGTACTTGTGTTCTCATGTACCCATTTTAAATCATCTTCCATTGCCAAAGACCAGTTCCAGGACTCAAGGACAGAAGTACAGAGGATGGTAAAAATACCTGGATGTCGTTCTTGCCCCGCCCCAAATATCAAGGGTACATTGGTTGCATCCTCGCCGAACGAGACCAATCCCTCGATTCATTGAGCCCCAAGTTCGTCCTTGGGAGGCAAGCTAGCAAAACTGGTCTTGTGAAGACCACAAGTACAATCTTCACATTCTTGGTATTGAGAAAAACCCTTGATCTTAAAGATCACTTCGAGGGACACTTGAATGGGTCTCAAATGACGTCCTATTTTGGCCACCAGCCAGCCAAAGGTTGCGTCGTGCTACACTTCCCTCATAATGCACTTCAGGCAGCAGCCACGTGTGCAGCCGTCACATATTGTATCCCATCACATACCCGGGAGAAGGATTCCAGAGGCCACACACTCCACGACTCTCCGCAGAGCCTCTCCAGCGCCCAAGGGCCGGCTGCACGTGGCTATGGCTTTCTCACAAATCAATTCCAGGGGCTGCAACATATTGACGAGCAGTCAATTTATTCAGGCCAATCCAGCAACAGACCACGCATCTCCCATCTGGCAGAGACAGCAGGAAACAGGTTCCACTCACCCATCCTTTCAGGGGCTCCCAGGCAGTGACCCTGTTGCAGAGGTCTCTGAGAATCCGGAGCACGATAAGGCAAGACTGGAGCCCGGTGACTCTGGCCTGGGGAGGGACAAACGACGTAGAGAGGGCCAGAGGTGAAATGACAGCTCAAGCCTACTTGGACCAATGCACTTTCTTTCTTACAGTATCATTAGACTCTGTAACCAACAGCCCATTTGTGTAGACAAACTGAAGGTGAAAGGAACAGTACAAAAGGTGAACCGTACAAAAGGTGAAGAAACAAATAAGAATTACAGTACATATTTAATGCTACGTCTTTGAAGTTTTCCTCAAAGACACTTTGAAGGTCAATCGAAGGTCAAGCAGCTTAAATAGTGCTGAAGAACCATCACGTATTGCAAGCACTCTACCCAGAAAGACTACCCACTGAACCGGCGACCTGAACAGAGCACACCGCACCCTTGGCGTCAGAAGAGCGACCCTCGGGCGAGACAGGGAACGGTGAGGCAAAGAAAAGCCATCTAACCTGGAACCACTTGGCGTGTCGCAGGGCTGCCAGAGCAAGCAGACACCTCTGCTGGTCCAGCAAATCAGGCGGATCCTCCAGCTCGACGTTCTCTGCTGGAGAAGCAGGACAGGCGGGCTGTCACTGAGCGGTTCCTGTCACGGCGCGCGGGCGGGATGCATCTTAACCAGGCACTCAGATACTCTCCCCACACATTAGGCCCATTTAATGGGCTATACAATCAGGCAGGTTATGTATTCAAGTAAGCAGTTTAATCGTAAAAAAATAAAAAACTGACCAACACACACTGGCCAATCTTTGTCTTATAAAGTAAGCTGCAGTAAGCGTGTCTGAATTTACACCAATACGACGCAAGGTCTTTGAAATTGCATTTTGTGTCTGACAATTCTTGGCAGATTCCATAAAACCACATGCAGATTTATTAGTTTTATTATGCAGTTTTCCCCACAAATTTTTCATCCATACACACATTTTGCTGGACTTGGGAATGGGAAAGTCCTGGGATTCAGCTTCTAAAGGGAGAAGGTGGCACGGATGGTACCTTCATCCTGGTGCTGACCGTCTCTCATCTGTGCCGACGTGAGGGTGACCTTCAGGGTGAGCCGAGGTTCCCAGGACCTGAGCACACGGACACAGGCTTCTGGGACGCAGCAGTCCACCTCGTACTGGTCTTCTGTCAGGCTCTGCCAAAGAAATGCATGGCGGGGATTACGACCATCCAACCTCCAGGAAGAATATGCCCTCTGGATGGCATTTATGTACACACACACACACACACACACACACACACACACACACACAGTCAAGGAGTATCAAGGTCATAGCCAACCCTAACTTTGCTGACACCAACCTGGATCTGGAGAGGCAGGTTGTCAGAGACCCTGTGCAGCAAGCTCTCTGTGGGCTTTTCACGACACATCAGCACCAGCTCCAGCTCTATGTCGTTCCTGATGAGAAGCCCCTTGGCCAGCAGTCCAACCCGCGTCACCCCGCAGAGAATCCTGCTGCTCTGCTCCCTGTTTCGGAAGACAGACCATAAACCACTGAGCCAACGGGACCTACAGCCATAAACAATGTCCGCTGCTGTCCGGTTAAAATTAAATCTCCTCTCAGTGCTGAAATAGCCTTGTAAAATATGACGATTGCTTGAAAAAAAACAGATAGTAAAACTAAAAAGTGGAGAAATGCAGGCAATCTAACATAAGTTACCTGCAAAATACCACATAAGGTCTTCATTCGAGGAACACATTTTTAATTGCATTGCATTCAAGTTACCTGGTCTCCATTCAAGGAAGGTATGAGAACACTTAACATAAATCAGCAGGACAGTCGTTAAGGGGTGATACAGTCAGGCCAGTTTATAACAAAATATAATTGGGTGGGTCATACTTCCTAGCTAGTGTGAGTAACATTAAACTCTTCTGAGTTTAATGTTACATATTACAGTATTATGAGCTAAAAATCCAGCCGCTGCTGCCAGGAGGGGGGCAGATCCCATTGAGACTCCACAGTACAAATTTGCCAGGCTTAATTCCTTCCCATCCAATTACAGGTTAAAGCCAGGGAAACGGGGGTATTCCCGACACCATCGGGGGGGGGGGCCTTACGTAGTGCTGCTCTCCCCAGAGTCTGCGGGTGGGGCGTCCCCCCGGTCCAGGCCATCCATCCAGTCGGACACCTGCTTCAGGGCACACTCGACGGTGGACACCAGCGTCTGCACGGCCTCCAGAACCTCCGACGATGGGTAGATGGCTGAATGCTTGGCCATGACATGGCGGTCGTCATTTGCAAAAGACCGGATGGACCTCTGGGTTGGGGGCAGGCGGAGAAACGGCTTTAAGGCAGGAAGCACGGACGCACAAACACACATCACCAAACTGCATCCCCTCCCTGCACCGGTGTTGAATTCCTCCAGGTCCTGCTCCCGCATCCCGAAGTCACGCAGTTAGGCGGACAGTCGTCTCCAAACGGCCTGCAGGGTTCCTGCGAGCGTGGCCTCGCCGTGACCCCCTACTGGATAAGCGGGAATGGAAAATAGATGGAACTGATAACGACCTTCTGCTTCTTACTACTCTGTGCGGCAGACTAACTTCTATCCGACAGCATTCCTCACGTTTCCCCACAACGCTGCACTCTTAAAAATTCCCTCATCATCATGGAGACTCATTTAGGTGCCACATAAACGCAGTTTGTGAGAAACGCAGTGGCCTATATTACAGTGACGAATGATTCAATACAAGGCAGCCTGGAGACTGCGGCTCTGACTTAATACGCGAACACGTAACTCAGACGTAAATCAGCCTACCATGCCACAGCACTGGCACACATGCATCTGTGCTGTTAACTTGTTAAACTCCCCAGTAATGTTCCAGGCTGACTTTGGAAAAGAGCAGCTGCTAAATTAATAACTGAAAATGTAACTCATCAGCATCAGTAAGCAGCAGACAGTGCCCTGACCCCAATCCCTGGTTATTCTGGGTGACACTGGATAATGACCATGAGTGCGGTAACTGGATTTCAATGGGGTCCTTCGGACGCCGGTAAGCTGGGCAGTGCGCTCAATAGTCACATGGACAGCAGAAGCTCCGGCATTGGTGCAAAGTCCTTCTGGAGCATGGATGGACGCAGAGTGCATGCTGGGATAATGGTTTTGTTCACGGTCTGGGGCCTGGTATCCTGTGCTTCAGGTGGGAACTTAAACCGAGGACTTAGATCTGAGGGTTTAGTTATAGAGGGGGCTGTAGTGATAAAGGCTGGCCTAGTTAGAATGCTCTGGAAAACTCAGAGCTGAGTAGAAGAGGATTTCTATACAAAGCTACGGGTGAGAGAAATCCAGACAGGAAGCCAAATGGGCAAGGTCAGCATGGTGACTGGAGCGAACTTTAGGGAGGCCAGCATGCGGAGTCTGGATCCTCTTGTGTCAAAGCTGTTAGAGAGAGTGCACTCCGTGCGGGACTCAGGGTCAGCCCCATCCGTCTGGAGCACACGGGAAGTGTGCTCGTTAGGGAAGATTAATGACAAGCACCCCCCCACACCCGCTTTAATCATGTGTGCACTGTCAGCTCAGAGGGCAGGACCATCCATCAGAGGCAAAACCTCCTTTGGGGAGTCGGAACAGGGCTTCACCCCCAGCTGGGCTCTGCCTCACCCACTGCGAGGGTGCGTGTGAGAGAGAGAGAGAACATGCGTGTCGGAGAGAGAGCCTGCGTGTCAGAGAGAGAGAGAGAACCTGCGTGTCAGAGAGAGAGAGAGAACCTGCGTGTCAGAGAGAGAGAGAGAACCTGCGTGTCAGAGAGAGAGAGAGAACCTGCGTGTGAGAGAGGGAGAGACTACGTGTCAGAGAGGGAGAGCCTGCGTGTGAGAGAGCACAACAAACACACGCCCATGCAAACACATGTGCACACACACGCTCACATGCCCCCACAAGAGCACATACACGAACACACACACACAGAACAATCCACACATAGAAACAGTGCTATGCGTGTACGCATCTTACACACACACACACACACACACACACACACACACACACACGAGTGTGACCCTGCTACTTGCACACGTTACCATGCCTGCAGGTCAGGTGACACAGATGCTGCTTCTTCCTCTGCTGTCTCGCCGTCCAGCTCGCACTCGGCTCTGGCTGCGGGGCTGCCTGTGGTCTGAGTCAGGGCCCGGGTCCCCTGGCTCGGCCTCCTCATGTGCACCCCCTGGACCCGCCTCGGTGGACGCTGAGGCAGACTGAGAGGGGTGTTGCGTCCGGGTGCCACCCCCTACTGGAAGGCAGAGGAGACCGACGAGGTCAGCTGTACGTCATCCCCTACCCCGTCCCAACCACTCCGCTAACTACTATGGGGCAAGACTTACGCCGACAAAAACAACTTACCAAAAAAACAAGGAACGAAACACCTAAGAAATCACAAGGAGCTGAGCAACGTGCCCAGGAGCTCCGATTCAGTCCTGCACTCCTCTGACACCTCCTGCACCCACCCAAGATCTCCTCCCAGCCGGAGCCAGAGCCGGAGCCGGAGCCAGAGCCGTCAAGAAGCACACAGAGGAAACGGCAGAAGAATCAAATCTCAAGCGCCCTTTGACAGAATCGGGCGATTCTCCCACAATGAACAAGCTTGAGTGCAACTGTGGGCTCAGCCTCCTGACTCAATTATATTTAGCCTCAAATAATACATGTACAAAAGCTGGAAGACATTTTCACCTTTTCACTACTCATCGCCATGAGTGGCAGACTTGTCTCAACTTCTTCAATAAAATGGTTATGCTGCATCTTGTTTCCCACCAGGGAAGCGTTGTAGATTATTCTCACCTCTAAAGTACCACATTTGCACTTTTATGAGAAGGACATCAACGCCTTCATATCTAGCCGAATCTCTGTGACAAGTACAATGGCCGAGGCGGCATGGGGAGGTGTACTGCTGCTCACACTGTACTGTGACTGAAACCCCAATCCATGACATCACTTACAGGAAATTCACACGTAGCCGGACTCCGACGGTGCAGGAAGCAAGAGTCTGCAGTCAGATCAGATAAAGCATTTGACCATTATCAAGATCTCTTTAATAATCAGTCACTATAGACAAATCACTCAGTAAATATGCCATTACAGACTCAGCAATTGGTATGATCTTTACAGTTTTATCTTTGTTGCCAAAGTTAACCTTCAGGATTTGGCATTAAGCTGCTGCCGTTTGTCCTTCATCCTTTTTTCTGATCCAAACTCCCAATATAATTTATATAAACCTGTGAATATTTATGAACGTCAGCCCGAGTTGTACTGCAATTTCATCTTTATTCATGGGAGTTATTAAAAACAAATTCCCTTCCAATGAACAGAGGTCTCACTAGCTATAGAATGAAAGAAGACAACAGGTTGTCCATAAAACATGCACATTTTTGAGACACTAATTTCATTGTAATTGATACACACTCACAGACCACTTTATTTGATATACCTTTGCCTCCAGAACCAGTTCAGGATTTGTGCATTCTGAGATGCCTTTCTGCACACTAATGTTATTTTTGCGCCGAGCTGGTATTTTTGCATTTTTGGCTTGTCGTTAGCTTTAACGAGTCTGCCCATTCTTTTCTTCTCTGAACTCCCTCATTAACATAGTGCTTTCAGCCACAGAACAGCACCTGACTGGTTGCGTTTTGCCTACCACACCCAATCGCCTTAAACTCTAGATAGCGTAGTATGTGGAAATCCCAGGAGGGCGACTATTTCTGAGATTCTGGAATCAATTACTCTTGGGCCAACAACTACATGACATTCAGAATTACGCAAAACATACGTCTTACCCCTTTGATTGCTTAGCCGAGTTGCAGCCACAGGAGTCACCGTTTCGAGGAGCAGGGAGATGTACCCAACGCAGTGACCGCAGAGGACCTATGCTACGTTGGCAGTACATGTTCAGGATGCAGCAGACACACCAGGAAGTCTGGAGGAGTGCTCACTCTTAATTGAACTCCTCCTGCTGCCCGGACCTACCAAAACATGGCTACTCAAGTGCTCTCCGGGGAGAAGGTGTCCTCTACACTGCTCTGCCTTTCTGAAGAATGACTCCATCCACTTAAAAAAAAACCTTCAGCAACAAAGGACAAAGAATGCTGCATCAGGAGAGTCTGGGGTCCGGAGGGACCAGGGAGGCTCCGTCAACAGAGCCAAACACATAACCTTTATTCCTGCATTCATTTAGGAGCTAAAAAGTGTAAAATACACTTACAGGCAATTTCTGCATATATATATATATCCATTACAGGCCCACTGGCATATGCAAGCAAGGAGGCGGTCGGGTGATAATTTAATGAATTTCACTTGATCAAATGCATCTGGAGCTCAGAGACAGCAGATTTCTGAACATTGACGGTAAGATTATGCGGGTCTTCGATGCCGCAGCCCCCCACACTCAGCACATACTTCTCCCGTCAGGCTGGGTGGGCAAGAGACCCCGACTGCATCTGAAAATACGCTGGAATTCCTCCAGGCTCTCTCTCCACATCCTTTCAATGACCTAATATTTCCCAAAATCTGAATAATTTTCATGCCACAAACCAGCCCAAATTAGCTTCTTGCAAGTGCACAGAAGCGGTGACTGAAGCCAGAGGCCCTGTGAGGGTCTGACTGCAGTCTTGGCTTCGGCCTTATTGGACACGCATCTCTCATACAGAGACCCCTTCTAACAGCAAAGTAAACAGTTTTGTTTTCTATGAAATGCTCATTCAAAGTCCCCTCCGACCCCCTGTACTACTGGGCTTATGTGCTACCAGAGATCCAAAATCATCCCTTAAGGTTCAATTAAAATTTTATTAGTTTTTGTAGTAGTCCTTCCCAAAGCACTTATGGATTTCGCTTCCTGAGTATCCGACTAGCATCACCAGTCCCACTGCAACACAGAGACTGTGATTGCTGCCATTGTGCAAGTGCCTGAATTCAGGTCGCCAATATATCTTCCACTTGAAGCAGCCCTTGCAGTTTTAACTGCTGCTTGGAGGAAAATATCATGGATCATACATCAGCTGGCTAAGAATGAGCCTTCGGGTGTCATCACCTGGACCTGTCTGACAGCGGTTTCTTAGAAAGAGGGGAAAATTAAGGTGCCATATAAGTCACACATACAGGTGCCCAATGTTTTGTGGAAAAACCTAAAAAGATACATTATATGAAGCACAGACTCTTTTCTTACTGAAAGGTGACTGAGCATTCAGCACTAATATCTCCCAAAGAATTGCACAGACTTAGAGGCGTTTACACTTCAGAACGTAAACTAGTTAACACTTGCTTCCGTTTTCTCACTTCTCTCATCCTCAGCAAGGCTTCAAACCCCTCCCTGCATAACATCACACAACCTCCACTGAGGGGGCCCAGATGATGGCAAATTCAAGGTGACCGTGAAAAGAAGAGGGGGGAAAGAAAGCGGAAAGCAGACCTGGCAGCGAAAGCATAACACGCTGGCATAGAAACCATCGGGGTCATTTCCGCTGTCTCTACGCACACACACGGTGGCCCAGAAACAGGGGCGACTGTGGTGCATTCTGGGAAGCCCAGGAGAGAATCTGGGCCTGACAGAGAGAGTCGATTTGGAGATGAGGCAGTTTGAGGCACAGCGATGCCGGTTACACTGAAAAATATGCCCAATAAAGTATCTCGATGTCATATGCTTTGCTGCATAGTCTAGCATCATATGACTACCATTCCTGATATTCCATTCAACAGCAGAGGAGACGCAAAGGAGCAGAACAGTTGCTGCAGAGGACATTAAGCAATACTTTGGCAAGCGGGTAAGAGATTCCTATGTAGGTTTATTTCTTTCCTGGAAAACCTGCATGCGAGCTCATAGTGATCCACCGAAAATGGCCCCACAGGCTACAAAACCCAGTTAAATCAGTCTGACTGTAGCGTTTCATTCTGGACTTTTTCTGATGAGACCAGAATACAGCAAGAACAGCTCCCAAAGCCCTACACTGCAAGACCCAATTAGGACACAGACCCACAGTCTCTGCGTAGGCTGCGGTGGGTTTCTATCCATTTTCTTTGGCTGATGTCTGACACACATTTTCTGAAATCATGAGCATATTTTTTTGATATTTAGAAGCATACATTTTCTAAGGATGTGAAACAGGTCCATGTGACAGAGGGATGGAAGGACAGGATGGGGAGCTCATCTGGGATTTGGAGACTAACAAGACAGACAACAAAGGGGGAAGAATGGGAAAACAAGGTAGAGGATCTATAAATGGAGCGACGAGGTTGAATGACTTGGATCCCTTCTCACTTCAGAGAAAACAGTTTAAAATAGGCAAAGGAAACTGAATGGCTTTGCTATGTGACTTTCCCCTCCCTGAGAGATCCCAAGACTCCCTGTCTCACACAGCGCAAAAGCCAAGAATAATAAACTGTAATTTGTGCTCATCAAAGGTGGAAAGTTCAGGTCCAGAAAGTGCAAATCCGACCAAGGTTTCGTTTCAACCAACCAGCTGACTCTTTATACTGGTTAGTTGAAACCAAACCTTGGTCTGTATTTGTAATTCCTGGATCTGAACTTTCCACCTCTGGCGCTAATAAATAGAGAATACCCAATACCTTGAGCATTTTTACCGGCATGGGAAAAACACGCACAACACTTCTGCTGTACCCGGATCCTTTCAATCGTCCCTAAAACCAATGGCAGCCAGCCCAGCATCACGCTGACTGGCCAGGAACCCAACCGATTCCGCGCTATGAGGCATCGCGTGTTTGCAAAGATCTAACCCTGCGCTCCTGCCGAAGGCGACTGCAAGGGTGAGCTGTTCAGGAGTCATTAGAAGTGTAGCATGATAAACAGGCATAAGCGTTACAGGACAGTGGGCCGTATCTGCATTGGTGATGGCCGGTTAGGACACGCAGACGAGGAGAACTTCATGCTCGTGTAAATCAAGCTCCAGCCTTCTGCTGCTGCAAAAGATAAAGGCTTAAAAGCTGAAGGAGATACTTTCACCAGCTATCCAGGGTTTCATAACGCACAATGTTTTATACATTTGAAGGTATAGTAGAGTCAGGGAGGAGAAAAAGAAACAAAAATATGGTCTGTGATATTACAATAAAAACTGGTGTATACGGTGTATATTACATTTATCAAGTAACTATTTTAATTATTAGCAGCTACTAATGTTCGAATTCACTTCAATCATAATTTGTCGGATCCATTAGCCCATTGTGGGAGAAATGATCCTCTCATATTTGTTCTACCACGGTCACTCATCATTTTGGATAATGGTTGGATAA